TTATACCTTTCAAAGACTGCAAATGATGAACCAAACTCAAATCCTTCAGTCTCCTCTTGATCCTTCTATGCTCTTCCTTCTTCCTTGAGGTCAAAACCCACAAAAATCACTCAAAAGCCTTAGATCTTGCACCAAAACACTTAGGGTTTGCTATGGAGGGTTTCTGGGAGCATAAAGGGGCGATGGAGGCTGTATAAGGTTATTTAAATAGGGTGCAAACCCTCAGATTAGGGTTTTGTCCAGTCAGAGCCTACTCGTCGAGTCCGGGACCCGACTCGACGAGTCCATCACTTAAATCCCGCGTCTCATCCCGCTTCTACTCGGCGAGTTGGGCCTTCAACTCGCCGAGTCCCAGGCCAAAAATGCAAAAATTACTTAAATAAAATACATACCAGGAACCAGGTGCTACAAATTCGCCACTCGAGGCTATACTCTGTAAGACCCTCCGGTCTATGTGTCTCAGCGGGACCCTCCAGTCCCGTAGCTCATTGGACCTTCTGGTCCGGTCTAGCTCGTTGGACCCTCCGATCCGGTCTGATTGAGAACCCTCTGGCCTCATAGTTCGTTGGACCCTCCGGTCCGGTCTAAGCAACAAACAATATAGCATACAATACATATCACACAATCATGCATAATTCAAGCAAGCACATAAGACCCTCTGGTCACACATAATTACCATTCTAGGTAAAGTATAGTGAGAAGACTCACCTCGGTTAGCAGGTAACCGACAAGCACTCGGAAATCTTGGACTAGCCTCCGCCTAACACATAAGACAAGCATCTCAATCATTATCCGTCTTATTACCCTTTATATCTTAAGTCCTCTTTTCCTCTTTTAACCCTCAGGATGGGTAAAAGACCATTTTACCCCTCCTTTGACCCACCTGCCCCCTTACTGACCCACTCATGAAGTCAACAGAAGTCAACCTGGGTCAACATTCCAAGTTGACCTGACTCGCCGAGTGCACGCCTGTGACTCGCCGAGTCCACACGAATTCTCCAAGTTCTTCCTAGGGTTCACTCAGCTCACTGACTTGACTCCCAACTCGATGAGTTAACACTGGGTCAAGGCTACAAGGTCAAACCCGCTATGACTCGTCGAGTCATCCCATGGACTCGGCGAGTTGGCTCCATTGGGTTACACACTCAGCCACCGGGTTCACTCAGCTCACTGACTTGACTCCCAACTCGATGAGTTAACACTGGGTCAAGGCTACAAGGTCAAACCCGCTACGACTCGTCGAGTCATCCCATGGACTCGGCGAGTTGGCTCCATTGGGTTACTCACTCAGCCACCTGAGGTCAGATCTGTAGCTCTAACTCATAGATCTAACCTCCTACTACCCAAACGTCGTGTAAAGGTCCGATCTTGATGTCCATGCATGGTGTATTTTGCATTATAAACGATAAAGACTCCATTAAGGGTTCCTAGCTTCAAAGCCCAATGGTTGCTCCACCATGGCTTCCCACTTTCGGACTCTCTGGACCCTCCAAGGTCCAGATCTATGCTATCAACTCATAAGATGGGTTTGATGCATTCAAAACCCCACCAAGAAGGTAATACAAGCCCTAATCCATAAAAGAAAGATCTACTCAATTACGGAAGAAAGGGGTCCGAATTGATACCTCCAACTGATGCTCCTTGGTTGGAAATCGCAGATTTACAACCTCCTCTAACCCCTTTGGCTTGAAACCTTCCTCTTCCTTGCAAGACACCCACCAAGAAGCTCAACATGGCTCTCTTTCTTGCCCAAAGCACTCAGGACTCGTTTAGGGTTTTCTCCTCTGAAAGGTAGCCGCAATAGGAGGCCTTAAGTGCTTTTAAATAGGCCCACGCCCGGGAGAATTAGGGTTTCTGCCAACAGCGTTGACTCGGCGAGTCATCCCTCCGACTCGTCGAGTCCATTCATTTTCCACATCACCCAGATGCGATCCTACTCGACGAGTGGAGGCACCAACTCGTCGAGTCACTCCAGGCAAACTCATACTCACATATAGAAATGTTATACCTCGGGAATCAGGATGTTACACTACAAGCTCATATAATAAGCATACAAAGTCATCTCTCCTAGCATTCTATCATGCAAAATATTGAGTACATCCTTAGCCCTAACTAGCATGCGATTCACAGATTCACAGATCAAATCATATCAAATAAAAATGTATGGGTATTTTGGGAAAACTTACTTGAGCTCGGTCGATTGCATGCACCACACCCTTTCTTGTATTAGAAAACTAGTTTTCCTCTTTAAAACATTTTTTTTTTAAATTTTGTTTTATCAAATCCTCAGTTTGAGTTCAGACACACCCAAGAGTATGTCCGAATCCCTCACACCAAGGCTCTAATACCAACTTATAACGTCTCAAAAATAAGTCCTAAAAATTTCATTTTTAATTTAATAAAACCGATATCCCACATACATCATCATAAAAATCCAGATAAATAAATGTATCAACTAACATATCATGTCATAGTAAATCACAAGATGCGGAACGAGGTGGTGTGTGCTCTACAATCATCTCAAGCTCTTCCCTTAGGAACCAGAAGTACCTGAAACATAAAATGAAAACTGTAAGCACAAAGCTTAGTGAGTTCCTCAACATACCACATACGATACATACACAACACGTAACGGACCCTGTCCAATGAGTGTAATGGGCCCGCCCACACTCGTATAACGGGCCCCGCCCAAACTTGCATAACGGGCCCCGCCCAATGAGTATAACGGGCCCCACCCAAACTCGTATAACGAGCGTCGTCCACATACAATTCATATAAGCATAACATGTAATAGCATATTGAATAACCATCGGGTCCCGCCCAGTAAGCATACAAGCACATACGCATGCAAGAGTCACATAGACATCTAGTATTCTACTATAACAGATCATGGGTCGGCATTGGTGCTTTCGGCCAGCTAAGCATGGTGAGGAAAACTCACCACTAAATCTGAACAGTAGTTGAATAGGTCCCGACTCTGAATATTAGCTCTACCCATCACCTATTCATCAAATAGTGACCAATCTTTAGATACAACTCAAAATACCTCAAATACCACTTAGGTCAAACTTGGTCAATGTCAAAAGTCAAAGTCAATAGTCCATGTTGACCCAACATGCCGTGTTGCCCCTTAGCCACGTCGTGTTCCGCCAACATCCAAACAGTCAGGAAAAACCCAGTCAACACGTCGTGTTGACTTGCAACCACACCGTGGTGGCCTGAGTTTCAACAGCTTAATGCATTCATCTATTTTCTTCGACTCCAAGAGCTTTAAAGCTCAGATCTAAACCAAAAAGCGATCTAGAAGGATAAAGTTTCCAAATTTATCCATTGGGACTTCCCAAAAAGGTCCAAAACCCAATCCATAAGGCTTACTAATGCAAGGGCTTGACCAATAAGCACTTAATCCCTAAAGTCCGAAGTCCATCCTTTCCAGAAGTGATACTAACCCCAAAACCAACCCAAAGGTGGGTGCTTTATAGATATACATGTTTAATGCATGTATTGAACCCATATCAGGTCAAAATGAGGATTTATGACCTAATCTCTATGCATGACATCAAAATTTGATTATAATCCAAGTCCAAGACACTACTAGCTAATCTTGACCTAGAGATTCATAAAGTTGCAAACTTTATGAGGCCTAACCATTCCAACATTCAAGAACAAGGAACTAAAGGGACAAAACTCAAGATCTAACAACTTGGAATGATAAAAATCGAGTCTTGGACACTTACAAAGGTCCAGAAGAGTACCAAAGTGAAGAATGGTGACTTGCTTGCTTAATCTTTGCTTCCTTCCTCCTCATTCTTCCTTCTTTAGCTTCAAAAAACACCAAAGTAGCTCAAAAATTGAGGAAGATGATTAGGGTTTGCAAGGAACAATTTAGGGGAATGGAGGCTGATGTAAAGGAGGCTATGAAGGGGTTAAGGATCCTTAAATAGGGCTCAACCCACTTTCGGGTTTTCTCCCTCGGCCGCCACCACGCCGTGGTGGTCCATTCAACTCCGCTATCCAAAGGCTTATCGCCACGCCGTGGCCAAAGAGGAATCATGCGCAATTCGGAAATAATTTCATACCCGGAATCGAGTGTTACAGTATGAGATCATGAAAAAAAAAATTCAATCGTGGTTTTGATAAGTTATTTACTTATAACACGTGTAAATACGATTTGACAAACATTAAAAAATAACTTATCAGTTTATTAAAATACCGAATAAAATAATCCAAATATATTTTTTTTTCGAAATATTACTTTAAAACCGGATGCACTAATATAAACTTCTATTAAAAAATCTAATTTTTTTTTTATTAAGCGACAAATATAACTTACTCATAAACCAATCCTTAAAATCATTTATATCCACGACAAGACTTGAACCCTCAATTTCAAGAAAGGAGAACAGCGGATACCACTGGGTAGAAGCCCTTTAAACTAATCGTGTAAAAAAAATCTGATAAGTTATTTTTTAAGTAAAAGCCTTCAACCAATTGAAAATTTTGGGCTTTCTTTCTTTTTTCATAAAAAACATTCCTTTAACGAGCATTAATGAATTTGAAAACAAAATTACTGAAAGGGGCTCGCATAGCTTTTCTAGAGGTTCTTACATATGATTCGCTCTTCAATCAATACATCATCAAAAACAAATTAAGCATGCTATAACATTATACTAACATTAGGTAAGGATTTTTTATTTTATTATTTTATTTATTTTTTTGGCTTAACGCATAACAAACAACGTAATAACAACAACTAGGAAAGAAGAGAGACGACTTTCAATGTTAAGTCGTGACTTTTTACAAGTTTCCTATGTCAATTTTTCCCTCCTATTTCCTAAAATGTGAGGCAGTTTCACTCAGTTGCGGACGCAAAACATTTGAAGAGAGGTGTCACTCGTATGCGAAGGTGGCACACCTAATAGGAATTTTTTTTTTTATTTTTTTTTACACCACAGGGCGGAATCGGAGCAATGGCCCGAGACCCCAAGTGCACTGCACAGGTCCAGGTCCGCCACTCCGCCACTGGTTTCACTTATATTTTTTAAACATCATTTATCAACATAACACAGTATCTAAACAACATTTCACGATTAAAAAATAATATTAATAATAAATAATACAAAAAAAAAAGAGAGAGAGAGAGAGAAACAAAGTTTTTCGACAATCCTAGTAGAGCTTTGAGATTGTTGGCATGGAGCACCCATGTTTCCGGTCTTGGTAGAGTCTCAATATAATAGCGGCGATTTCTTCAATTGCTATTCCGGTCACTTCTGCAATCATCAAAAACAACAATATGTCAATATTCACCAAAACACAATTTGCAATTTATGAGGATGAAGATATGAGGGTATTAAGAGTAAGATAATTTAAGTTCATTGCTATTATTAATAAAATAATATAAATACATTGCTATTAAGAGTAAAAAATTAAGTATGTCGCCTATATTGGTAGCGGGAATAAACTCACCAATAACCGGCCAAGTGGGATTCTTTGCAAAAATCTTGCTAGCATAGTCGACCTCCTCCCTCACATGCATCATCTCCGCATAATTACTTTTCTCATCTCTAACATATCCTAAGCTCTTCGCTCTTTCTCGTCTTATAGTTTGCAACATAACCGGATTTATAGTCAACGCAAAGACCTTATTTTGGTCAACCTCCAAGAATAGACTCTTTGGCAATTCCACCCCCTTAACAATCGGCACATTCGCAACTTTATACCCTTTTTGAGCCAAATAAATCGACAATGGAGTCTTCCCGGATCTTGAAACACCCGCAACAACAATGTCTGCTTTTGGCAAGTTCTCAGGCAGAGCTCCATCGTCTTGTTTTATGGTAAACTCAATGGCATCGATTCGCTTGAAGTAGTTTTCGGTCAGGGGAAATTTCCTGCCCGGGGCACCTCGGGGCAGCCCGGAAGGTGAAACGCCTAAATGGGATGCGATGGCTTTTGTGATTGGGCGAAGGACATCTGTGGATTGGACTCCCCATGTTTTGCATGCTTGGCGAGCTGAGTTGGCCATTTTTTCGTCTGCTAGTGTGTAAATGAGTATCGCGTGTTCTTTGGCGGCTTGTATTATGATTTCCATGAGCCGATCTACGTCATTAATCTAAAATAGCAATGTGCTTTTGTTAACTTGTTTATTATAGCATCCTACTTTCATTCTTTCCTATTGCAACATTATAAAAATATCTACCAAACTATATCAATGTCATTCAAAGAGAAAGCAAATTTCATTGCAATAATGAGGAATCGTTAAATACAAATTTTCAATTGTAAGCATTTTTCCAAGTACAATGCCTTAATAAGATAACATTAAAAGTATAATGTTGTAATTCAAAAAAATTGGAAGTATGATGTTATAATACATAAATATATGAAAGTAGGTTGGTAATTTTTGGATTTAGAAATCTTATCGTATCTAAAAATCCTTAGATTATCATAATTTGTTTAATAATATTTCAAGTGGTGTCAGAAACACATCTCCTACTCCTTAACTTATTACAGCTAATTAGTTGATTTTGATTATTTAATATCAACTAATCACTTTCAATGCCTCAACTAGAATGCCAAGTGTGTTGTTAGATTGATATATTAGATCAAGGAAACACGCATTTGTGAAAGCAAAAATCATATAACCTAAAATCTTTGTAACGATGCTTAATTCTATATTCCCTTTGACATTCCAAAAGGGAAATTTGAAACCTGAATTACTTTCAATCAAAACACAATTTGCAGAAAGTTAATCACTGGATATTGAGAGTGAAAAGCAATAAAATTCGAATTCAATGTACACTAATTTCATATAAATGTAAGAACCCTAGAGTTCATGAATGTCGGGAGAAGAAATTACCCCAGAGAACAATCGAGTATTAACTGGACAGCCACGGTCAACCAAAAAATGCTCAAATTGACCCAACGCCGCGTTAACAGAATGCTCCGCCGTTCGTCCTGAGCCGTCGGAAACCAGAAATATCTCCTTCCCTGTACCTGGTGTCTCCTCCGTCTCTCCTCCAGTACCATCTTCGGAAGATGAAGAAGAACAATACGAACTAGAAATAGACAGATTGGTACCTTCTAACCGATGCAACTGCTGATCATCGACCTCGGTGTGCTGCTCTTGTTTACGTTGAGCAGGGCGGTCTAGCTTCCGGCCGGATCTGATCACTCGAGCTCTGGACCAACGGTTCAGTTGAGCGCTGCTACTACCGAGCTTGCCGGGGTTTGGTCCCGCCAGCCATTGAGTAGCTGGGTTGCCGGTGGTTGTTGGATTAGGTTCCGACGGTATCATGTTCCTCCCAACCCCTTGTGAATGTGACGGTTTCACTTTCACACGATATGGTATTTTACTCGAGCAATTTTACACCCACCCAGTTCTCTGGTTCAACTTGACGAGAAAAAAAAAATAAATAAATAAATAAATAAAAAATAAAAAAAAAAACAAAAATTATGGTTTTCATCTTTAAATATTATTAATACAGAAACTTTCTAACATCACTTTCAACAATCAAGGTTATTGATTGTGTTTCATTCATTTCTTTTTCACCTTTAGATCGTTATGCTGGCATCATCATTTGATCAATCTTTTTTTTTGTCCATCAATTTTATAAAATCTATTAATGATAATTATTTTTAACATTAGAAAATCTATTAATTACAATTAAATCTCACCAAAAATAAAATTATTTTTAAAATTAGAAAATCTATTAATGACAATTAAATCTTACCAAAAATAAAATTTCTTTTAAAATTAAGAAATCTATTAATGACATCATCATTTTGTCTACCCCACCCCTCATTACCCGTTTTTTTTTCTGATTTGAAAATCACTAACACATGAATTATTTTCTTTTCAATTTATTGCAGGGAAGAAGATATGAAGATCAATGGTGCTGGAAGATACAATCGATTCTCCCACTAATTTCAATGATGCGTACGTCTTCTTTCACAACGATTCAATCGATTCTCCCTTCTACGACCTCGAATTCAGATACAATTTCTCTTCCCATGTCTATATGTGCAAACAATCCATAATCTTATCTCTTTGATTCCTCCTTGTGTAACCTCGAATCTCTTTCATGTTATGATCACAACCGCAAGCACTCATTTATTTCGTCTCCTTCCCTTTCTTCATATTTCTTGCGTTTCACCTTGGGGCTCTCCTTCTTACAGTCAATTATTTGTTTCTCCACACAACGGCTTATAATTGATTTGTTATGTTTCGATTTCTAGTGTTTATTTCTCAATTTTGATGAAAAAAACCTAATTCACACTTGCTTTCAGGAATTAAGGGAATCACCGCTCCTTATCCGCCTCCCTCTTTCTATCTGTTGCCGAAACTAGAAAGACGACATACACACACACTTAATGTGTTCGTCTTTTTAATTTTGTTTATAGGTTTGTTTTCTACACCACCCCAACCTCTTGATTTGGTTTTTATACGATTTTTGTTACTGTTTTCTTCTTTTCCCTCATTTTTTTCACCATTTTCTATTTTTTTATATATAGCTTTTGTGTACTTACTTTTTTCTTTAGGGCTATCTTGATGTTGATTTTGGGTTTTTGTTGAACACAATTATGATATGTGTTCTTGATGTCAAATGGCATTCACTCGGTACCTCAAGAACATGTAACACCATCTTGCAAGTACCATTTTTTGATGGTATCGTCAGATGAAGATAAACAAAAAAGGAAATAAAAAAGAGGAGTCGATTTGCATCAGGTAGCAATTCAATCTTTAAATATGTTTCTTGCTAGATTTTTTTTTGTTGTTAGTGATGGAACAAGTAATATGATAGTTAAATATATCTCTTTTTTGTATTTTCTTTTAGTTGTAGAAAACGATAGAATAGACAGAGAAGTTGTCGTCAAAAGATATTATGTGAGTTATTAGTTCCAGAGTTCAAATTGATTGAGTAGTTGGTAAAATAATATAAAAAAGTGGTCAATATTTATCTGTATGATCATAAAAAAATAGAAGTGCTCAAATAATTTTATAATTTTGCCTTTAAAATAAAATGAAACTTTTCTTTTGGACTAAAAAATAGTATCTTGGGGCACAAAACTTAGAAAAACTCCCAAAATAAGACGCCCAACACTCAAATGAACACGTTCGTTAAAAAAAATAAAAAATGCTTTTATTTTTTACTGAATTTTTAATATATTTTTCCTATTTTATGTAGATACCAACCAGTTTCTTTCATGTTGATCCTCATCCTAGAAACCTTGCAATTGGCTCGGATGAATCTTGAATCATGAATCATTAATATGTTATGATTTTGGTATGATGAGGGAGACTCAATCCTTGACTAGAAAAAGATTGATAGATCTTTTCATGCAATTTATGAAAAAGTTGCAAAAAAGGTATGAATTTTTTTTATATATTTTTCTAATAGTATAAAGCAGGGACACCATAATGTAGTTTTTTAGGTACTCGAATAGAATTTATATTTGGATTAAGATTAAAAGTATTTTGTTATCATTACAGATTATGAACAATTCCATAAGTCTTGAAGCGCTTAAACCCATTTGAGACATGTCGTCAATATGTAAAAGTTGAGAGAAGAAGTGAGAAGAATATTTGAAGCTTTGGAGCATCTGAGGTTATTAGGTATGCATTGTATGTAGTTCTTTAGTTTATATTCATATCCTTAAGTCGTTATTAGATGCTTAAGCTATTGAGACAAAAAAAATTGTAATGACCGTGTACTATCAAAGTTTATAATCACGAAGATTTCGGATTTTTATGTATAGAAGGTTGATTATCAAAACAGAATATATCCACTTCCAAGAATTTATAAAATTTATATATTTTTCAGTATAACCAACAATGGCGTTTTGTCATCAAGTTCCATTTAGCCTTATTTCTTACTTTCTTAGATAATATACCATCGAGGTAATGGGATACAATCCCCTTCACTGGAATAAAAAACCAACTGTGGGACACTATACTTGGTATCTTTGTAGTTAGGTCATTCTTAAGATTCTTACATTTGAAGACCAAACATGTTCTAACCTTATTCCATAATATGCATGCTTTCTAAAAGTGCAATTCTTATCTGGTTTATATGGTTGTATAACTTTGTATTTTTTAATAGAAGCAAGAATCGCACATGATGAGAACAAAAGTATGTGTAAAAGGTATATGAAAGTGGATGTTACCTAAAAATGGATGTTGAAAAATCAATTCTATATCCTTCACTTGCATTAACCAATACATTTGTTTTCCAAGATCCAATATAGTTAAGTCGCATGCATATGTTGTCAAAAAGGATCTTAGGTTTGGCTTATTTATGTATTTTTAATTTCCTTATAGGTAAATTGACATTTGCATTATTAAAATGATGTCTGTGTGAAGTAAGTATGAACAAAGAGTCAAATGTAATTCCCACAAATGTTTGAGGACCCTCCTACACCAATCATATTATTATTATTATTATTATTATTATTATTATTATTATTATTATTATTACAAATCAATAATAAAACATTAACTCGAAGAAAATATAAAAAGTTGTAATTTTTTAGAAAAAAAACATGAACTTACTGGAAGATCATTAACAAATCGACTAATAGCACTAAAAGCTCCAACTGTAACACCAATTTGTATTGCATTCATTGATACATCAAGAAGAAAGAAAAAAGACAACTGACATTGGTTCCCGAACCTAAGAAGAGTATAAATTAAAAAGATATTGTCTTGAAGGTACTCATATGTGACAATGAAGGTCGTCCAACTAATAAAACAAAAAAAGTTGTTTACAAATAGGTCCTTCATCGATTATAGATATTCAAACATTTCATTGTTTTTTTCAATGTTACAAATAAAGCTAATTCTATTTCTGTTACTTTCCTTTTAATTATTGTGCCAACTATTTATACTTTTATATGTATTTTTTTATATGTTCCCACCGCGTTTTACACGAGTCATGATCTAGTTTCTCTACAATTTTTCTCTACAATTCAGAAATACAAAATAAAATTTCTTTTGCTTTCCTTTTTCTTCTTTTGTCTCTAGACTTTCTTTTCTTTTCTCTTCTTTTGTTTTGTTAAACTCTAAAAACTAGACCATAAAATAGGTAACTAGGTAACAATTTTTTATGTTCATCTTTTCCAAAGTTAGCCCTACAAATTTTTTTCCATTTAAAGGCCATTTAATTTATCTGTTTTTACACTACGGGTATAAATCTCATATTTTTATGTTTAAATGGTCATTATTAAGAAAACAAACGGGTCGTTCATATTTTGTCGGGAAAATAACTCAGGATTGGGTTCCGACGGCGTTATGCTCCTCCCAACCGTTGTGAATTTGACGATTTCACTTTCACAAGAGAGAGTATTTTACTCGAGTACTTTTAAGGTCGGTTAAATTGAACGAAATAACCGTCAAATAGGTAACTAGGTAACAATTTTTTTTTTCAGCAGCTAGCCCTACAAGATCATAATAAATGTCAAAATCAAAGGATGAAATGAAAAAAGAGAATTAATGTTTTAGACATGACAATCATTGAATTGATAAGAAGATTAAGTAGGAAACTATTTAATTTAATTTTCACATTTATTAGATGATCGTTTAATTTATAAAATTTTACTTTAGGGGCATGGAGTCTGTATTTTTGTGTTTAAATGGTCATTATTAATAAAAGGGAAGATGACACATTGGCCCAATGAAGTATTTCAAATTTACTGATTCAGTCCTAAATCTTTTTTTTGTGCTTTATAGGTGCATAAAATAAATGTCCACCTGCTTGTTTGGTCACTGCTACCTAATATAGCAGGTTTTATAAGCCACATCAATTTTTTATATATTTTTTATTCAAAACAGTTAAACCCTCTAAAACATAGTCAACCAAATAGTGAATCACAATCACCTCAAAGACTATATTTCGACTCCATTGTTGAATTTCGGAAGAAAACTTTAATCATACATCTTCATCAATCTATTCATTTGCCCTCTCCTTCAGATCGTTCACCAGCCCAGTTTAAATCCCAATTCCAATCCATAAATTTAGAATTCCAGACCTTCTTTTTCTTCTTCGATCAGTTGCAGTTTGAAGGAGCTTCCGAAAAATCAAGGTCAGCACCACAAGCCGCATGAAAGTGAGACGCATTCGACTATCTCCTAACACTGCAATTCAGTTTTATAGTGTGCAAGATTGGCTAGGTAATTGTTGGATTAGGTGTCTAAGCCCATAACTATAACTGGTATGTACTTGACCCGATAGTAGCATGGTCCATTTCGGGTTGCCTTCATCAGAACAATTTGATAGGATGGATGTCTGAGAAAGAGGTTATTTGTAATTTATTAATAAATTATAAGAATAATATATTAATTGAGAAATCATATTATTTAATTGGTATTGATCAAAATTTAATTTGGAATTAATTTAGTGATCAAAATAGACTGATTAAATTAACGGGGACTGGTTAAGTCAATCAGTAATATTTATAGTTTGGGCTAATGATCCATATTGATTAGGATGGACTAATTCTATGTGGGAGTCCATGAAGAGTTAGTTCAAAGGGCCTATCATATGGATTATTGGATTTATGGCCCAAGTGAATGAATTAGGGTTTACAAGTTGAAACCCTTAGGAATTCCACACTATAAAAGTAACCCCTAACATGCAAAAATCGCCTTAACTCTTCCATGTGAAACCATAGATGTTTTTGTGTGCCTCCTAAACCTCTCTCATTGTCCTCCAATTGTTTGTGGTGTTTGTGACGTGTTTGAGGCATCACACTTGAGGTGATATGCTCTTGAAAGGCCAAGTTCTACAAGCTACAACAAAGAGGTATTTATCTAACTTGTTTTTATGTTGTTATACTCGAAAATTGTATGCTAGTTAGGCTCTATGCTTTGGATAATTTTATTGCATGTATAACTAGAGAAAAACTTAGATCCAAGGCATTAGGGTTGTATGTGTACCATAGGAGTGTTATAGTACCTAAAACCCATCAGTTATACCTCATGGATTGATACATTAATTTTGATTTCTGGAATCAATGAAGCACATGATTTACATGTTCGGTTTTAAATCTAGAGTTTAATTTCTTGTATGATTTCTGGTATATGGTTCCTAATTTATGATTTGGAATCCCGATTTATTTTTCTGGTTCGGTATAATAAAACGGTGATTTTTTTTGGAATCGATAAAGCACATGAATCTTTTTTTGCAATCGATGAAGTAGATGATTTTTGTAACTTCTCAAAAATCACAATAAATTTAAACTTTTTAAAACAACACATTTACTGAAAAGAAGTGTTTACATAATCATTGTTTTCGAACATTAATAAAAAACAGAGTCTCCCAAGATTCGATCAATCATAAAACGAAGGATGTGTACGGTCATGTCTTCGCCTTGCCACTGTCCTCTGAGATACCTGAACAAAACTAAAACTGTAAGCGAACGATGAGTGAGTTCCCCCTACATTACCACCACATAAACATAAGAAACAAGCATGGAAACATGAGCAACCATCCTAATTGGACCGCCTCGCAGGGCCTACAGCCTATCTGGACCGCTCCACGAGCAACCGACCTGGCTGGACCGCCTCGTAGAGCCTACAGCCTATCCGAACCGCTCTACGGGCCATCGACCTAACTAGGCCACCTCGTAGGGCCTACAATCTATCTGGTCATCCTCGGGTGTCTTATCCTACAACACAAAGCATGACCGCCTCAACCCAAACCAACATGTCAACATACGCAACAAAACAAACATAAACACAAATCCGACAAATACAAATAATCATACAGATCTAACAGATCATAATAGAATAACATCATACGACAACCAAAATATCAATCCAATGGGCCGACCTTGTTTCCTTCGACCCATAAGTACAGTGAGAAAAAACTCACCTCCCAATCTGAACAATAGCTGATAAGGTCCCTGCTCCGAATCCTAGCTCTACGCGTCACCTATCAATCAAAAGTGACCAACCCTCAAATACAATCCAAAATACCTTTAGGTCAAAATTGGTCAAAGTCAACGGTCAAAAAGTCAACTCAGACCGAGTACGCCCAACATACTCGGCACGCACGCCCTGCATACTCGCGATCCAGATCGGGGCTCCCTCCGGTGTACATCCAACGTACACGACATCTTACAAACCTCACTTTTAAGGACTTAATCCTCTATGCCACTTTGCCAAATTCTCAGTTCTAGTCCCAAATGACACTCCAAACCATAAAGTTTCCAACTTTATGATTCTACATGCTTAAATCAAGCACAACAACAAAACCCT